CCTGAGGTCAGGAGTTCAAGACCAGCCTGGCCATCATGGTGAAATCCCATCTTCTAAAAAAATAAGAAAGAAAGAAAGAAAAAAAAAAGATGCCGTCTTCCTATGTTGCCCACGATGGAGCACAGCTGCAGTGGCCATTCACAGGCATAATCACGGGTCACTGCAGCCTGAAACTCCCAGGCTCAAGTCATCCTCCCACCTCAGCCTCCCAAGTAGCTGGGACTACAGGCATGAATCACTGCACCTGAGTTAACCTTTTTTTTTTTTTTTTTTTTTTAAGACGGAGTCTCACTCTGTCGACAGGTTGGAGTGCAGTGGCGGGATCTCAGCTCACTGCAGCCTCTGCCTCCTGGGTTCAAGCAATTCTCCTGCCTCAACCTCCGGAGTAGCTGGGATTACAGGCACCTGCCACCATGCCCAGCTAATTTCTTTTGTATTTTTAGTAGAGATGGGGTTTTGCCATATTAGCCAGGCTGGTCTCCAACTTCTGACTTTGTGATCCACCCGCCCCCAGCCTCCCAAAGTGTTGGGATTGCAGGTGTGAGCCACCGTGCCCAGCCACTTAACGATTTTTAAGTGTACGGTTCAGAGACATCAAATATATTCACATTGTTGCGCCACCATCACAGGGATCATTCGGTTTCATCTTGTGAGACATAAATTCTGCCTCATTAAGTAACCAACCCCTGGTAACCTCTCTTCTATTTTCCGTCTCTATGAATTTGACCACTCTAGGAGCCTCCTATGAGTAGAATCATAGAAGATAATATTTGTCTTTTTGTGCGTGGGTGATTTGATTGAGGATAACATTCATAAGGTTAATCTCCATTGCAACCTGTGTAACAAATAGCTTTTAAAAGATGACGGGGCGCAGTGGTGTGTGCCTGTAGTTACAGCTACTCGGGAGGCTGAGGCAGGAGAATCACTTGAACCCAGGAGGCAGAGGTTGCAGTGAGCTGAGATCTCACCACTGCACTCCAGCCTGGCGACAGTGTGAGACTTCGTCTCAAAGAAAAAAAAAAACAAAGATATTGCAGGCAGAGCGTGGTAGCTCATGCCTGTAACCCCAGCACTTTGGGAGGCCGAGACTGGTGGGTCACTTGAGGTCAGGAGTTCGAGACCAGGCTGGCCAACATAGTGAAACCCCGTTTCTTAAAATAAAATTAAATTTTAAAAAGGCCGGGTGCGGTGGCTCATGCCTGTAATCCCAGCACTTTGGGAGGCCGAGGTGGGCAGATCACAGGTCAAGAGATCGAGACCATCCTGGCCAACATGGTGAAACCCCCATCTCTACTAAAATAAAAAAAAATTAAAAATAATAATAATAAATAAAAAATTAGCCTGCTATGGTGGTACACATCTTTAGTTCCAGCTATCTGTGGGACTGAGGCAGGAGGATTCCTTGAGTGAGGTCAAGAGGTCAAGCCTGTAGTGAGCCAAAATTACACTACTGCACTTTTGCCTGGATGACATAGTAAGACTCTGTTTCAAAAAAAAAAAAAAAAAAATGTACGGGGCCAGGTGAGGCGTTTCATACCTGTAATCGCAGCTCTTTGGGAGGTCGAGGCAGGAGGACTGCTTGAGCTTAGGAGTTTGAGATCAATCTGGGTAACAAAGTGGGACCCCATCTTTAGAAAAAAATTAAAAATTAGCCAAGTGTGATGGCACGTGTCTGTATTCCCAGCTACTGAGGAGGCTGAGGCAGGAGGATCACTTAAGCCCGGAGGGTAAAGGCTGCCATGAGCTGAGATCATGTCACTGTACTCCAGCCTGGGCAATAGAGCGAGATCCTGTCTCAAAAAAAAGATTGCATGGGACATACTTATACTAAAAATCACTCAGCCAGATGTTGTGGCTCATGCCTGTAATCCCAATACTTTGGAAGGCTGAAATATGAGAATAATTTGAGCCCGGGAGTTCTAGATCAGCCTAGGCAACATAGTGAGACCCCTTCTCAAAATCATTTCGATATGTTTTAACTGGAAATTCTAACTGCAGCCCTTCTTTTTTTTTTTTTTTTGAGACGGAGTCTTGCTCCGTCACCCATGCTGGAGTGCAGTGGCACAACCTTGGCTCACTGCAACCTCTGCCTCCCAGGTTCAAACAATTCTCCTGCCTCAGCCTCCTGATTAGCTGTGACTACAGGTGCATGGCACCACGCCTGGGTAATTTTTTAAAAATTTTATTTATTTATTTATTTATTTTATAAAGATGGGGTTTCACCATGATGGCCAGGCTGATCTTGAACTCCTGACCTCAGGTGATCCACCCACCTTGGCCTCCCAAAGTGCTAGGATTACAGGCGTGAACCACCGTGCCCAGCCATTTTTTTGTATTTTTAGTAGAGACGGGGTTTCACTGTGTTAGCCAGGCTGGTCTCGATCTCCTGGCCTCCTGATCTACCTGGCTCAGCCTGGCCAAGTGCTGGGATTACAGGCGTGAGCCAATGCACCCCGCTGGATATATAAATATATATTTTTAAAAAGGCTGGCTTGCCTTCCCTTCCTTCCTTCCTTCTTTCCCTCCTTCCCTCCTTCCCTCCTTCCTTCTTTCCTTCCTTCCTTTCTTCCTTTCTTCCCTCCCTCCCTTCCTTCCCTACTTTCTTCCTTCCTTCCAAGACAGTCTCATTCTGTTGCTCAGGCTGGAGTGCACTGAATTTTAACTGGAAATTCTAATCTAGCCCTTCTCAAGGTACCAGACTAAAAGATCTATTTTTTTTCAAAGGCCTGCTTGCTTGCCTCCTTTCTCCTTCCCTCCCTCCCTCCTTCCCTCCCTCCCTTCCTTCTTTTCCTTCCTCTCTTCCTTCCTTCCCTCCCTCTCTCCCTCCTTCCCTCCCTCCCTCCTTTCTTTTCTTTCTTTCTCTCTCTCTCTCTCCTCTTTCTTTTGTTCTTTCATTCTCTTCCTTCTCATTCTGCCACCCAGGCTGGAGTGCTCTGGCATGATCTTGGCTCACTATAACCTCCGCTTCCCAGGTTCCAGCAATTCTCCTGCCTCAGTCTCTTGAGCAGCTACAATTACAGGCATGTGCCACCATGTCTGGCTAACTTTTTTGTATTTTTTTATAGAGATGGCATTTCACCATATTGGTCAGGCTGGTCTCGAACCTCTGACCTCATGATCCACCTACCTTGGCCCCCCAAAGTGCTGGGATTACAAGTGTGAGATGCCGCACCGGGCCTTATGTGTAAGTTGTAAAGAATTCGTCTTTGTTGAGCCATATTTTACCCACATAGGGATGCTTTTTGAGACTAAAGTACTCTCTTTGTTCTTTCTAATCAGATCCCTCCAATAGTTTCCAATAAGTTAAAATAAAACCCAATCTTCTCATTTATGTTTGTAAGGCATTATGATAGGTCGTCCATGGACCCTTCCAGCTTTATCTGCTTCCCCCCACTCACACACACAGTCATCCAGGATCAGCTGGGTTTTTGTTTGCTTTGCTTGTTTGTTTTTTGAGACAGAGTCTTGCTCTGTCACCCAGGCTGGAGTGCCGTGGTGCAATCTAGGCTCACTGCAACCTACGCCTACCAGGTTCAAGCGATTCTCCTGCCTCAGCCTCCCTAGTAGCTAGACTATAGGCGCCCGCCACCACGCCCGGCTAATTTTTGTGTTTTTTTTTTTTTTTTTTTTTTTTTTTTTTTTTTTGAGAGGGAGTTTCACTCATGTTACCCAGGCTGGAGTGCAATGGCGCGATCTCGGCTCACCGCAACCTCCGCCTCCTGGGTTCAGGCAATTCTCCTGCCTCAGCCTCCTGAGTAGCTGGGATTACAGGCACACGCCACCATGCCCAGCTAATTTTTTGTATTTTTTTTAGTAGAGACGGGGTTTCACCATGTTGACCAGGATGGTCTCGATCTCTTGACCTCGTGATCCACCCGCCTCGGCCTCCCAAAGTGCTGGGATTACAGGCTTGAGCCACCGCGCCCGGCCTATTTTTTTGTGTTTTTTTCTGGGGGTGGTGGTGGTGGTGGTGGCGTGTTTCACCATGTTGGCCGGACTAGTCTCGAACTCCTGACCTCGTGATCCGCCCTCCTTGACCTCCCAAAGTGCTGGGATTACAGGCGTCAGCCACCTTGCCTGGTAGAGTTATAGCTTCTAACACTTCCTGCATTTCCTATTGCCGGGCTCAGTTTGGTGCACACTCCTTACAGTCCTGTCAGATCTTAAAGGATCAGTAGCATTATGGGCCTCATTTTCCAGGTGCAGAGACTGAAGCCCAGGGCAATCAAGTAACAAGTAACTTGGTCACACGGTATTCAGTACATTTTTCTTGAATGGCTGAATATGTCTGTGGGGTGTTTTGTGGCCCTGGCATATGGTAGGCACTCAGTAAGTTTTTAGTAAGTGAAGAAATAACTATTCTGTGCATTTTGTGGCTATTTATCCTAAGAGTTCCCCTGGCGCCTGCCCCTTCCTCTCAGCCCCGCCCCTTTGAGCTGGCAATGGCCCATCCCTGTTTCATGTTGTATCGCTCCTCTTTCGATAGCCAATGGTCGACGCCCTGCTGAAGTCCCGCCTCTTGTAATGGCCAATGCCTGATCCCTGCCTTGAGGCCCTTCTCTTGCGGCATCCAACGGCTTGCAGCTCTCCTTTAAGCCCCTCCTCCTGAGGGAGTTAGGCTGTCAATGACCCGCCCCCTGCGTTGACTGATTGGCTTTCTTTATCTAAGGTATCCAATGTTCTGCCCCACTGATATCCCCTTCTCTTGTGGCGGTTTATGTCCCGCCTCTCTCCCTTAAGCTCCACCCCTTCACTCCTTTAGCGCCTCTGTTTGTCTCCTCCCACATTTTCCCTTTCACCTCCCATAACCTCCCATTAGGTCTCTGGGTTACGCCCCTTGGGTCTGCCCGTTATCCAATCCCGTTAACTGTTCTGCTCCAACTCTTGTTCTCATTGGTCGCCGCCCTTCTCTGTCCCCCGCACGTGGTCCTGAACGACGGCTTTGTCGGCGCGTGACGGCCGGAGGGCTGAACTTCCGGTGGCGCAAAGCCCAATAAGCGCGTGCCGGCCGGCTGCCCAGGCGGCCTCCCCCGCCCCCTCGGCGTCCGGCTCCCGCCCCCGGCTTCGCCTCCCGCTGCCGCCGCCGCCGACGCCGCCGCAGCCGCTACTGCCGCTGCCGCCGCTTCTCGCGGCCTGGGCCTCCCGCCGTCAGCATGCCACACGCCTTCAAGCCCGGGGACTTGGTGTTCGCTAAGATGAAGGGCTACCCGCACTGGCCAGCCCGGGTGAGGTCGCGCGGGAGATGGGGTCGGTGAGGGGGGGTGGGGCAGCGGGAGCCCCGGGCCGGAGGCAGGCGCGTCCCGGGAGACAGTGGACGTCTGGCGCCTGAAGGAGCCGTGCCTCGGGGATGTGGGGGGCCTGGGGGTGTCCGGGGCCTGCAGGGACCGCGCCCCAGGGGTCTGGGGGGTCCTGGGCCGCAGGGAGCCGGGCCCTGGGAGTCTGGGGGTGTCCGGGGCCTGCAGGAGCTGCGCCCTGGGGGTCTGGGGGTGTCCAGGGCCCGGAGGAACAGCCCCGTGGGGGCCTGGGGGTGTCCGGGGCCTGCCGGAGCTGCACCCCGGGCGTCTGGGGGGGTTCTAGGTTGCACGGAGCCGCGTCCTTGGGGTCTTGGGGTGTCTGGAGCCTACAGGAGACGCACTCTGAGGGTCCGGGGTGCTCGGGGCCTGCAGGAGCCGCACCCCGGGGTCTGGGTGTCCTGGACCTCAGGGAGCCGCGTCCTGGGGTTCTAGGGGTGTCCGAGGCCTGCAGGAGCCGCACCCCGGGGTCTGGGGCCCTTGGGCCTCTGGGGTTCGTGCCTAGGGGTTCTGAGGATGTCTGGGGCCTGAGAGACTCTCGCCCTTGGAGAATGAGTTCTGGGACTCAGGGAGCCGCGCCCTGGGAGTCTGGGGGTGTCCCAGACCTGAAGGAACTGCTCCCTGGGGATATGGGGGTTGGGGGTTATCTGGGGCCTGAAGGAACCGTCCACCAACGGTTCTGGGCCCAAGGAAGCTGTGTCCTGGGGGTCTGGGGGTGTCTGAGACCTGAGAAATTATTGCCCTGGGGGAATGGGGGTCTTGGACCTGAGGGAGGCATTCCTTGGGGATCTGGGGGGGTGTCCAGGGCCTGAGGTTGCCACATCTTGGAGGTTTGGGGGTGTCTGAGGCCTGAAGGAGCTGCACGCCAACAGTCTGGGGATCCTGGGCCAGAAGAAGCTGTGCCCTGGGGATCTAGGGTTGTCTGGGGCTTGAGAAACTCTCCCCCTGGGGGTCCTGGGCCTGAGGGAGCTGCCCTCTGGGGGTCTGGGGGTGTCCTGAGCCAGAGGGTGCTATGCCTTGTGTATCTGGGGTTGTCCGGGGCGCCAGGGTCTCAAAGAGTCACGCACAGGGTGTCTGGGAAGGTGTGGGACCTGAGGGACTCTTGCCTAAGGGTCTAGGGGTCCTAGGCCTGAGGGCTCAAGGTTCAAGTGTGAGCAGAACTGGGGAACTTGAGATTTGGGGCCAGGTGCGAAATGTGATTGGTGGGGGCCCAGGCTGAAGCACTCCCTTGTGGAGAAGCCCAGTTTGAGAGGCTGCAGGGCTGATGGCCATGTGCTAGGGGTCCAGAGTTGGGGGATGCAGCCATGCCAGAAGGTTAAGGGCCAAGGCCAAGGGAAGCTGGGACCCCTGAGTGAGGGACTGCGTGTGGGGGAATGGGGCTGGGGTCTGTTCACAGGTTTTCACTGTGGCTCGGGGAACCGGACCTTAGAATGAAGTTGGCGTTGGGCCTGTTGGGGGACCCTGGGGACTGGCCCCCTGTGGAGAGGAGGATGTAGAAGCTGGCTTTGGGGAGACTTAAGGGTGGGGTTGTCCAACCCCAATGCCTGAAATGGAGACAGGCCTGGGCCTGTGGAGGGGAGCACATCTGAGGGAAGGGGCTGGCTGAGGGGACCTTGGGTGCCCCTTTAGAGGAAGCTGGGGTCCTGAGCACCAGGATGGTTCCAGGTGATCTGGCCTGAAGGATGTCCTGGCCTGAAGGATGTCCCATGCCTGGGAGTCCCAGATATGCGGGTGGGTGAGTTCCAGGCCCTGAGAGGGGGGCAGGGACCCCAGGCTACTGTCATCTCCAGGTCTCAGGGATGAGTCTCCCAGGACTGAGGTTGGTGGAATCTGCCCGGTAGGAGTGAGGAATTTGGCATGGGGTGGAAAGCTGGGGCAGCAGGGAGGGGCCGTGGACGGGGAGGCCACACGGTGACCAGGATGAGAACCATCCCAGGTCCGAAGCTGGCGCTGCTGCTAGGATGGGTGGACTGTGGGTGGGTCCTGGGTGAGGCAGGAGAGGCAGGAGCCCTATGAGGCATGCCGGGCTGGTCCTCCAGCGGACTGAATTTGGGATGCTTCTGGCGGGAGAGGGATGCTGGGGCTGCCCATGGCCGAGCCCAGGGGCCAGGGACTCTGAGAAAGTAGCCAAGAGGAGACCTGAGTGAGAAGCAAGCGGGCGAGTGGGGCAGTAAAGATCAGGAGCCCCCAGAAGCTGGAGACATGGATGGGGAAAGAATGCATTAGGACTGGAGAAGCCCCTCCAGCCTGATGTGCTGGCGCTGACTTTCTTGGGAGAGACCGGAGCAATGCAACTTCACAGGGACTTGCTCCCTTTCCCAGCTCTCCTCTCCTCAGACCACTCGCTTTTCTCTCCCCTGTCCTCCCTTCTCCAGCCGGCTCTCCAAGCACCTGATTGGAAGTGAAGGGGCTGCTAGCCTCCTGTGGGGAGGTGACTGACAGCTGCCGTAGCCCATGGGCCTGCAGGGAGAGGGTGGGACTTCCTGGATGCTCAGGGCCGGCTCTTGCAGCCCACCCCCTACCCTCTGCATCCTTGGAGCTGCCAGCTGCATCCCCTGGGGGACCGCCCGAAAGCCCCTCTTTGCGGGAGGGGTCCCCAGGGAAGGTCCTGGGAATCCATAGATGCTGAGCCTGGCCCCTCCTCCTGGTTGCTTCAGAGGGCCGGATCTGACTTGGCTCAGGTGGACCACCTGCCCTGGGGCCAGCTCTCTCCCTGGGGTGGGGGGAGATCTCCCTGGGTGGGGTACAGCTTTGCAGGGAGGGTACACAGAAGAACGCAGCTTCCTATTGGGAAGGGGCTGCTGCTTCCTGGGTTGAAGGCTCCCCTCCTCCCATGTGCTTTGCCCCAAGCCCCGTGGCTTGTTTCTTGGTGATTTCCTGGGCATTGGGTAAAGCCACCCCCTTACTGGCCTCTCACTGCAGATTGATGACATCGCCGACGGTGCCGTGAAGCCCCCACCCAACAAGTACCCCATCTTTTTCTTTGGCACACACGAAACGTAAGTGTCCCTTGCCGGGGCTTGATTTTCTCCTCTGGTACCTCCCGGGGTGGTCTCACTCACCTGGGACTGGCCCCTGACTCCCTTTTCCAGAGCCTTCCTGGGACCCAAGGACCTGTTCCCCTACGACAAGTGTAAAGACAAGTACGGGAAACCCAACAAGAGGAAAGGCTTCAATGAAGGGCTGTGGGAGATCCAGAACAACCCCCACGCCAGCTACAGTGCCCCTCCGGTGAGTACCCAGGGTGGAGCGCCAGCCTGAAGGGGGCATCTGAGGGAAGAAGAGGCCGCCAGGTCAGGGTCTCTCCCCTGGGCGCTGTGGAGATGTGGCGCTTGATCGTTCCCTGTGGTGGGGGGTTCTGGGCCCTGGAGGTACTGAGCAGTGTCCCCACCCCATTCATGATAACAGGTGTCCCCATACATTGCCCAGTGTCCCCTGGGTGGAGGGGGCACATCAGCCCTGGTGAGAACCCCTGCTCTAGAATCAGCCGAGATTTCTTTGTTTTTGTTTTTGTTTTTTTTGAGACTGAGTCTCACTCTGTCACCCAGGCTGGAGTGCAGTAGCGCAGTCTGAGCTCACTGCAGCCTCTGCCTCCCAGGTCCAAGCGATTCTCCTGTCTCAGCCTCCTGAGTAGTTGGGATTACAGGTGCCTACCACCACACCTAGATACTTTTTGTATTTTTTGTAGAGACTCGGTTTCTCCATGTTGGCCAGGCTGGTCTTGAACTCCTGACCTCAAGTGATCTGCCCACCTTGGCCTCCCACGGTGTTGGGATTATAGGGATGAGCCACTGCGCCCAGCCAGTCCAAGTTTCTGACAGAGTGTTATAGCTCTCATAAAACCTTTTATTTTCTTAGGAAAAGACATTTTTTCTTTGAGAACACCCCCCTCTTTCACTGTTACTGCAGATTTTAGAGGAGTGAAAAAGGCCGTAGTTTATAGATGTGAGAGTTCTCAGTCAGGTGGAAAAAAACACCGAGAATCAGATGACATCTCGCTGGCAAATGGGTGTCTGGCAATATTCAGGGAAAGGAAGGAATTGAGAAAAGTGGAAGCCAAATTGCTGAAAGGCCGTGGAAGGATGGGAGAAAGGTGCGTTTGAGTATTTTGGGGTGAGATGGGGAGTGGGGAAACAGCTGGAGTTCTTTCCTCTGCTTTAGCCACGCTGCTTTTGAGGTTTCTGTGAGAGGCTGGGGGCTGGGGGTAGCCCAGGCTTAGCAGGGGCACACATGAAGTTGGTGAGGAGGCCCAGGGAACTGACCACAAGCTAGGGAAAGCTTGGCCGCTGGGGAGGAAAGGGACACCCGAGGTGCTCTGAGCCAAGGAAGGCAGGAGGGGCCCAGCCGTTGGCTTTTGCGAGTGGAGGATGGAGCCTGTTTGTGGTGCCTGGTCCTGCTTTCGAACCTGGGGTCTTGAGGCGGCCTGTCCGTGCCTCTCCTTCGTCTCAGCCTGGGCTGGGTGGCACTTGTGAGCATTTGCTCCTGGATCCGCAGATGCTTCGGTGTTGACACCTGCCATGCACACGTGCTACACTGGGGACCAGGAACACGGGATGAGTCAGGCACAGTCCCAGCCACAGTCTGGGAGCTCACTGAGGATTCACTCAACAGATGTCTCTTGAGCGCTGAGGATCTGGCAGCCCCTTCTCAGGGGGCGGGGCCCACTGATGTTTCGTGTTGCTGGTGTTTTACGCTAACACCCATGGTGTGTCTAGGAGACCGAGGCGTCCCTGGTTTTGACACTTGTCATCTTTCCCCAGGCCATGCCTGTCCCAGCTTGGATGGGTAGGTCAGAAGTCCTTCAGGGTAGTTGAGTTTCATGGGATCTTTTCCTGGCCCCAGGTCAGGTTCTCTTTGATTCTGTCCTGAGCTCACTACCTCCTGGTGAATCATCACACCATCACACCATTTAATATTTATTGGACGCCTGCAGCTTGCTAAGCTCTGTCAAGAGGCCTGTCCTCGAGGAAACGAAATTAAACAAGTACTTCACAGATCCCCCAAGATGAGAAGTAGCTTTAACTGAGGCCATTGCCCCTCTTAGCATCTCCAGCCCATCTATGCTTCCAAATGCAATGTGTGTTACGGTGCAGATTTCTGGTCGGGCATGGTGGCTCAGGCCTGTAATCCCAGCGCTTTGGGAGGCCGAGGCGGTTGGATCATGAAGTCAGGAGTCAAAGACCAGCCTGGACAAGATGGTGAAACCCTGTCTGTCTTAGAAATACAAAAATTAGCCAGATGTGGTGGTGCACGCCTGTAATCCTAGCTATGTGGGAGGCTGAGGCAGGAGAATTGCTTGAACCAGGGACAGAAAGACTCTGTCTCATT